TACTGAAATTTTTCCAAAAGCAGAAACCAAGAGGCTACTGTTTTGTCTGTAGATTTTTTTTTATTGTTGGTTAAGATTACAGGGTAGCTTTTAGAGCATCAGACTTAACATTTTAAAATAACGTGACCTTATGTGTTGCTGCCTTGTACAAATTCTTAACACTGTAGGCTTAAATAAAATCGTCGCAAGACACTGAAATGTCATGACAGAAAACAAATGCTTAAACGTGGTTAAATTCCACATATGCTTTATTGACAACTGCGTGCATATATGCTGTTAAATGTGCTCTGAAATGAGAGAAATCGAGTGTTTGCAAGCTGGGAGGAGAAGGGCGCTGTGAGTATTACTGAAGGAACATTTGTTTAAACACAGGTTAAGGATAAGCCTCCTCAACTGCTGTTTCTGCTGAATTTGCCTCTGTCGTGGTGCCTACTACATTCCATTGCTTTTGTCTGGGCTTGGTATTTGGGAAATTTTGGTGAGGGCTGGAAGGTGGGGGGGCATGCTGGAAGCTGGTCAGCGGTGAGGAGAGGAGCGCTGGTGTGGGAATTGTGGAGTGGGGTCAGGGTTTAACTTTAGTGGCCATTCATCAGATGATGATTGATTGCTGTGCAGTCCCAGGGGACGTTTAACAACATCTCCGCCCATCCCCCTGCCCCCTTTGAAAGCAGATGGACCAAAAAATGGGGAGAGCGACACCCAGGAATTCCGGGTTTAACTTTAGTGGCCATTCATCAGATGATGATTGATTGCTGTGCAGTCCCAGGGGACGTTTAACAACATCTCCGCCCATCCCCCTGCCCCCACTTTGAAAAGATGGACCAAAAAATGGGGAGAGCGACACCCAGGTATTACTGCTGTTGTAAAATGTTTTTACGGTGCACTGTACAGCCTTTCCTGAAGCAATCACATTTATGGCCTTGCTGTTGTATTTCTTGGGCTGCTGTGGCTGTAAAAGATGAATAGCCCTGTAATATGGTTCACTGATTCTGTTTAAATTGAAGTAGGCTCCCTTTATTGTTTTGTGTCTAAAATTGTATGCCACCAATTCAGGAAATATTTCCTGTTTGGGAAATAATCAACCCATAGCTGATTTATTTTAAAATAAATCACTTTTAACTATCTCTGAAACTATTCCCCTCTTGCTTCTGATGTCTCTCTTAGTTGTAGTTTTGGTGGAAATTCTAAAATACTAATTAATGTAGTGAAGCAGTTCTTCAAAAACAAAACAAAACAAAACAAACCCAACTACTAAACTTGCTTATGAATCTTTTTTTCCTCTTACTAGATAGTTACCAAAATGGGTGTTGGAAAGGCACCAGTTCTTACCCTTAAAAACAATTGTATTTTTATTTAATAACTTAATTACTACAGAAACAAACAATTAATTAAATGCAATTTACACCGTTTTGAATTTCTTTGAAAGGAGAAATCTGTCTCTGCTTTCTTCTCATTTATCTTCTTCCTTGCTGCCTACCAGAACATTTGTAACATTTAGAAAAAAACAGCATGTTTGAAGGGTTTTGTTTATAAAACAGTTTTTCATACATTTGGGAAAATAGTGACATTAACAGGACAATAGTTTAATTTACAGCTTGATGGATCTTTTGACTGTATTATCTCTGCCTCTTCAGATGGGGGGGGGGGGGTTTTCGTGAACTACTGTGTTTTGGTGGGGTGTTTTGTTGGTTTTTTTTTGGGGGGGGTGCGTTGTGTTTTTTTGTGTTGTGGGTTTTTTTTAGAGCTGATTATTGTAAGCTGATCTTAGTTTGGAAAATTCAGTATTACTCTTCCTTCCCACTACCCCTGCCCATCCACATTTCAAGACCGGTCTTATTTGTCACTTAATGAGCATAGAAGGAGCAGTATGTTGCTATATTAACAGTGCAACTGAAATCTGGGGTGGCCTTTTAGCATTGCTGAGATTGGAAGAAGGGGAGGCTCTGCCAGCCTCTTAGGTACACCACAAGTGCATCAAATCTGAATTGTGAACACAGCCTTGTCTTGTCCTACTTCAATAGGACAATATATTCTTGGTGTGAGTTCTTGTTTTGTGGGTTTTTTTGTGGGTTTTTGTTTGTTTGGTTTGGTTTTTTGCCCCTCCCCCATAGAGATTTTTGGCTTTTCTCCCCCTTCTATTTAGAAACAGGCATAGAAACTTCATCTAGCAATACGTGACCTTTGTGGCCATGACCTAGGGACTGGGATGAGAGCAGGTTTGAGCTTGACACTAAATGCCTGGTTGTGGTTGCAAGCGCAGGCAAGCTGGCTGCTGAGCTCCGAGCTCCATTAGCCTGGCTGGCACAAGTCTCCCTTGCTGTTGCACCCTGCACAGCTGGGTACTTTCCAGTTTAATTCTCTGGGAGCGTAGTCCTGGTGCTTGGCAGAGCTGATGTGCAGCCTGTTGGATGTTCCTGACAGCGAGTATGTGAGATTGACCACAGGAGCAGAACTTCCCTTCGTGCACATCTGCCAAGTTGAGGGTTCTGTTGTAGTCTTGGTGTCCAGAAACGAGTTTCTAGGGGGGTTCCTAGTTCATCTTGAAGCTTGGCTGGCTCTTCGGGTTCACTTCTGGTGACTAGATCCCTTCTACACTGAGAGCAGTAGGCATTACGCATTTGTCCTTTCTCCTGTGTATTTAAAGTAACTGTTATAAATAAATGATGGAGATCAGTCCATCGCTGCCTACTTCTTCCCCTTCTTCACCCAAGCCTGTTAACTCTTTCGCTCTCAGACTTTAAATCTAGGTTGTTTTCATTATTTTGTTGACAAAGAAACAAATACAAGGTTTTATCATGGCTTTGTAGGGTTTACCCAATTCCCCTGCTGTGTCCTACGTAATCTGCATATTTCTGAAATGAGATTATGGCTCTTGTCTCTCTTCATTTAAATTCTGGAGTGATGATTTCCACCACATTTTGGTGGGTGGCAAGAGGCAGCTGAACAGCTTAAATTTAGTTTCTCTTTGGTTTGAACGGCTGGATGACTCTTTACCACTGGATGCTGTTACCTTGCAGCAGGAGTGCTTGGGTGACAGGACTGGTCTGTGGTGTTTTACCAAGCTTTTGCTTCTGGTGTTGAGTATTTTGGAGGACTAATAACAGATTTAATTCGCTTCTGGACTTCTGGTCATATGGTCACCATTTTCCTTTCAGCTGCTCTGCTTGACTGAGGCCCCAAATCCCTGCTGTATGTTTTTAAAGTATATCGGATTCATATGACTTAACTTGATACCCTGTCTTGGTTTTCATTCTCTCTCAACTTCTCAGTTGTTTAAGTGGAGTCATTCAGCAACATGTAATAAACATTCCCTGTAATTTCAACAGCAAAATTACAGAACTGCATGAGTAAGTGAACATTGTATACAGATTTAGACAACCACAGCGTAAAGACAAGGAACCCTCTAGTTGAGGAAGATGATGCATTTGAATAATGCGTTTCAGAGGCAAGGCAGCTTTTTACTTAGTAAAGGTAGAGGATCTGAGACACTGCTTGAGGGTTTAGTATTTGAACAGAAGCAAACCATAACAGTCTGTTCCAGTTTCCCCACAGCAAACTTAACTTCCAAAAAAAAAAAAAAAAAGGTTTTAGTAAAATCTGACATGTGTGCACAAACACACACATACCCCTTTGAGAAATTAATCCGTATGCCACTTCAGCTGTTGCGCTTATAGGAGCTTAAAATGTCACTTTATGCAGCACAGGCAATCTGAGGGAGTCACCTGTCCTGTTCTCCCCCTTCCTTTTGAGGGAGAAGGGAAAGGGGGATGTTATGCACCATACCACAAACTGTTAGCTGGAATCAGGAGTGGCTGGATGACAGCTGTGAGAAGACAAGCATATCAAACACTTGTCCAGTCTTTGTTCTGCTCTTGCTCCTTTTTGAGGTAGATTTCAAATAGCTGGTGATGGGAAAATGGTTAGTACTATGAAACCTTGTTTGCTGCCATTGTATAGTTGATTTTTGACTCTTCCATGGTAATCTGGATTTTCTAACATTAAACTCTAACAAAATTAGTGTATGTAGCTAAGAGCAAGACTTTGAATACAGAACTTTCTTGTGTTGAAATGTTGTGCTCCTTCACTTGTGTGTTTGAAAACAAAACAGCTGATTTCGGCTTGCCTCTAGAACTAAACAAGACTTCCATGGAAGATGCTATTTCTGTGTGCTGCTTCCCTCTACTGGGTGGAATGGGTACAGGTGTGGCTGATGAATGGATCCAACTTCCTAGGCTAACATCTTGTGTAAGACTTATATTGTGATTTGAATATAGCGTGTTTAAGTGCTTTCTGAATAGAATGGGGTTTTAGTGGTTCCCCACGGTTCACTGTAGCATTCAAATGCTCTGATGGGCATGCTAATGTTCCAGTCTTGTTCTCCTCCAACTCAAGCATCTCTGAGTATCACTAGCGTAGAAACACTGTCATAGTAAAGGTTTTGTTGCTTTGCTGTTGGGAGTGGCAGAAGGGAGTCTTGCCTAATATTATCACTACCCTGAACATAAAGGATTTGCATATTTTGAAAAAATAGAAGATGGTTCTTGGGTGCGCGTACTTTGTTTTCCCCTTCTGGGAGGTGGGTGTGCTGGTGCTGCCGTTCTCCAGTGCAGTGATTCTTAAATGACCCACTTAAGAGAATGTGGTGTTTGTGTATGCAGGAAAAGTCTTCACCTGAAACTTGCCATAGATGACATCTCCAATCTGCAAGTGTTGGCAGATGGCTTCCGCTCTTAAGAGGAGCTGATGTGGACACTCTTCCTAGTATTGTATTGCAAAGAAAACAATGACACTTCCATCTAACTGTTAAGAGTATGATTTGGAGCTTACTGGGAGGGATAGCTCTTCCTCTGTGGAGAAACTATTGTGAAGTCTTTGCCTATTGCTACTGCCTCTAACAGCCTCCTTTTATAGTTGAGCTGTTGGATTGTTTTCATCCTGGTGCTATTTTCTCTTTAATCCTTCATTGATAGTGATAGATTTTTTTTTTCTTCTAGGTACTGCATTTCTACTGTGATACCTGTTCTGTCCCCATATGTCGTGAATGTACCATGGGACGACATGTGGGTCACAGCTTTATCTACCTCCAAGATGCCCTCCAGGACTCCAGGACTCTCACCATTCAGCTGCTGGCAGATGCTCAGCAAGGACGACAGGCTATTCAAGTAAGATGCTCCTAACTTGAGTACTTTTATTTCCCCCCGCTTCTTTCCCCCACAGCTTGTCTGTTACAGGGCAAGGTGTCAAGGCAAAAAGCTCTCTGCTTCTGCTGTCAGTCTTCTCACCCCTTCTGTTCTCTCAGATCTCTGACAGAAGTGGCTGTGGAGCTGAAAACAAAGTGCTGTTTTATGAATTTTGCATTCTTGCAGCATAATCCTGTCATGTAAATCACAATATAAATGAAGCTATGTACAAATGCACTTGAGCCTGAAGCATTTTGAAGAAAGGTCTGATCTTGTATAGCAGTGCCAGGCCTGGTTTTGTTTTTACAACTGAGACTTATTTTCAGCTGTCTTTCATGCCTGTACAGCATCTAGCACTGTAACTGCCTATGACTATGGTTATGTCTTCAGTGTTGCCACCACATACAAAATACTAATCAGCTGTTGGATTAGCGTGAAACTTCTAATCTGCCTGTGCAAAGTATCTGGAGCACATACAAGGATTACTCTGCACAGATAGATGCACGTTATAACTGCCTGTTACTGCATTCTACCTCAGCTATGTTTTATAATGCAAATATGGATACCAGGCAAGGACTGGAAGGAAGGTAGTACGGTGCTTCAAATTACACAAGAAATTTACATGGGGAAGTAACCTGCAGGGATATGTAGGTTTTGCTGAATAATATCTAGTAGTAACTGTTATATGATATTAGCAGTAGTTTTGCCTGTATAAAGAGACTTTGGATGGGGAAAGCAGCATGGGAAGCTACACTCTTTCTTCTCGTTTTGTTAGCCTCAAATGCTCTACATTTGAGCTGGATATTCTGAAACTCAACACTCCTATGTGATTTAACTGATAAGTTTGGGGGTTTTTTTGAGTAAACATTGGTAGAATGCTATGTATAGGAAGTAAACTTACTTTCTGAATTGGGTGTGCTTTCCTGGCACATGCATGGTACAAACATATATAATAATAATTAAAAAAAAAAAAAAACCAAACAAACCCGTTGTCCACCCATCACTGCTTGTTTCTAGTAGATGATTTGAGCGGGTCTCTTAACTTTTCTTACTAAATAAAATCCGTTAAATCTCTTCTTCCATTTGTGTTGGCAGTGACCGCTCCTTCAGTCTCTTCTAGCTCACTTTCCTGAAGCGCTATGGAATTCCTATGTACTCTGGGCAGGCTACTAGACGTAGGGCTTGTGTGTCTTGGGGACTGTTTTTTTTCTTGAAGTTGGATCCCTTTTTGTGATGGGACAATTTTTCTGCCTCATTGGTTAGTGAGAATAAGCTATGACTTTTAGCCTGTCAGATAGCTATAACTCTCTTAAGTAAGGTTGTTCAGTGGGACAGGAGCAGCTAAATCTTCTCTCCTTAAGTCTTTGAAACTGTGGAATGAAATAATAAGTATTATGATGATACAGATATTAAACTGTTGTTGATGTCTCCCTTTAGCTTGTGATGTTAACTTGTTACAACAGAACAGCAAACACCAAAATTTTGGGGCTGGATGGCTAATTTAAAACTCCATCTTAAGACAGAATCCTGCAAACCTTACCTTCTTCCAAGGTTTGTTTTAAATTGGATCATAAGGCTCTTCAGCAGTATCCATACTGGAACATTTTAACATGTCCCCAAAATGAGCAAGACGAAAGGCATTATACTAGCTTAAAGAACCTCACTGGTGCAGTGTTCTGAATTTCTCCAGGCTGTCCTAGACAAGGGCTTGTCTGTTAGTAATTAAATTACTGCTTTTGACCTCCAGGGCTCTTAATCATCTAACTGGTGTGGATAAATCATCTAAATCATCTACTGACTCTTAGAGTAGAAGCTAGCAGAATACCATTGAGCACCACTCTACTACTTTTGCTTTTGCGCCTGCTTGCTTCCTGCTGGGTTTATTTTGCTTATTCCTCCCCCATTTTCTTCTGGCTTTCATGTTGAAGCCTCCTACCGTTGTGGTGAGCTGACTAGTTTCTGATGGTACAGGTAAAGGGTGGGTGGTACTGGCTATGCTCATTTAACTCTAACAAGCAGCTCAACTGAACTTAGTTTGTGCTGTTTTGCCCCGGTCTAGCTACAGCCCATCCAGGGGAAGAGGCTATCTTGGAAGTGTTGACTGGGCAGCTTGTGTAAAGATTCTGTAAAACGAACCATACTTTTCATGAAATGAGTTGTCATATTAAGTTTAGTGGGCTTTTTAATTTGAACTGCTGTACAGAAGGGTGTAGTGAGCAAGCAAATGAGTGATAAAATTGAGGTGGTGGTAATCTGTGTGTGCATATGCAGGAATGGGAAGACCGTACAGCTCAAGACAGCTGCTACCTAAGCAACATCAGCAACAACTAGAAGAGCATGGGATGCAGTTAAAAGCAGAGGTGCCTGACTCAGAGATTGATGCAGTGAGCCTGCTGCATAAGAAAGTTGTCATGGAGCAGAGCTTTCCTTGTTCTTGGGACGATAGGGCTGTGAAGCTATATATTTATCCTAGGGAGGAGACAGCATGAATTTAAAACAAACTCTAAAGTAACTAGCCTCTAAAAGAAATTTGCTTGGATGCTTTTATTAAAGTTTGAAAACAGTCAACAGGGAATTAAATGCCAGTATGAGCTGCAATTTGAGGAACATAGACTGGAGCTCTATGAGGCTTGAAAAGTAATATGGGGTAGTAACACTTCTTAGGGGGACTGATTCATACTGCTCTACTGGTAACTCTTTCTTAATATGCTCTGAGAGTGATAGCTCTCTTGATGTGAAATGTTGAGAATGAATGAGGAGGGGTAGTTGAGAGTAAAGGGGAAAAGGTGGAATTTGAGGGCGTTGCAGGGGAGAGGAAATCAAGCCATGAGTCAACTGGCTGGAGAGTATCTGGTTAACCAAAGTTGAAGGCTTTTAGGAAGAAATGTTTATTTAAACTCTTCCTGTGGCTTTGGAGGAAAGATTGTTTTTCAGACTAAAAAAAAAAATATGTTGTGAGTTGGGATACATTTCAGCCTCTTGATCCATTGAAGCCTGATCTAGTCTGTCACTCCTGAAAGGTCCAAACCTCGCTTTTCAAAGGAGTTGAAGTCCTCTGTAAGAAATAGTAATCCTGGCAGCAAGAGGCTTGCTTTTCTCCTCAGTGAGGTTCTGCAGCAATGGAAAGCTTCCCCTGCTTCCCTGTGCTGCGCTGGTCCTGGCTGGGATCGTGAGTTCCTAAGCCTGTCCCTAACACAAGAATTTGTGGCTCGTGTGCCCGAGTGGTGAGCTGATCCAGCTGAATCCTACCTTTCTGTAGGATTACTTTTTGGCTGGCTCAGCTCCCTGGCTGGCTCACAGCATTGCTACAAGGATTGTCGATGGTGCCAGGGAACAGAGCAGAAATACCCAACTCTGTTGCTTGTAGGACCTCTTTCTTGTCTTCAGTGGAAAGCTATGCTCTGTGCTGGGATGCTTTTCTGGCCTTTTCAGAGACTTGAATTGATTCACAGGATGATATGAAAGCCAAAGCTGACATTGGATTAATAGGGTGGGGGGAAGCAGGACTGCTGCCTTTCTGTATGGGGGAGTTTGTCTCGCTGCCTTGTTTTACCTCATGGAAGTGCACACTTAGCTGTCGTCTTCCAGATTTTTTTCCAAGGACCAGGCCACAAACTGAACGTAAATCTGTTATGATGAAAGATAGATGGCTTCTTCAAAATGTCATGTTCTTAAAATACATCTATACATGTGTAATTGTATATATATGCGTGTGTGTGTGTAATCTAATGCACTTGCGTAACAGTAAAGCCTTGAGTGCTTATTCCTATTTAGGGTCAATTTCCAGGTGGACATATTAAAATACAATTTGATCTGTTCACGTCAGTTATCTTGAAAGTGTTTTTATGGGAGAACAAACAAATTCTTTCCCAGCTGAGCCTATAGTTGTTTTTGCTGGGATGTTTGACAGTGCATGCTTCCACATTTAAATTAATGCGGTGAGACTGGTCACGCGCCGAACACAGAGGGAGCCGCGCTCTCATCTACCAGCATGAAAGGCTTAGGAATTGGTGGTAAGGCGGGTCAGCCATTAAGGCGATGCCTCTTCTCTCCCAGATTGTGGAGGAGGTGGTATGAAGCAGATCAACACTTTTATCCTAGGGAAGGGGGGAGGGAGGTACTGTTAAGAAACTTGGCCGGTCAGGGGAGGGAGCTGATCTGTTGACTTGAGCCTCTGCCCTTCAGTGGAAGCTTCCCTGTGGGTTGCCATATGGATCTGTGCTGCCGGGAGGTCGATACCCGAGAAGGACACGGCACCGCTGTGCTGCCAGGGATCCTTCTGGGGTTGTCACATCAAGGTAGCTGAGGCACCCTTGTGCGTGGCTTTGAAGTCAGGCTCATGGGTTTGAGAATCCGAAATGAAGCTTTGTAAACAAAATGGAGTCGATTGTGCTCTTCTAAATCTAGGACTTATATTGACAGAGGCTGAATTTCTTTGTAATTCTAATTGTTTTGTGTTTTAGCGAGTTCCTTAGTGTAATGTATGAGCAGATGGTTATTGGGAAAGAAGGATTTGACGTGTGTCACTGTCCAAGTACTGTTCTGCCTAAAACTTCAGGCAATAAGTCTGTTCTTGCAGTACAAACCAAAGTGATTGTTTGTCGGTTCCTGACATGAGTTAACCTAGCCTCTAGCCCTCCCTCCATCAAAGTGTCTTCTAAAATTCTCTTTATGTGAGAGTTTTTCTTTTGAGATTTTTGTGTTTTACACTTTTTAGGCTGCAAACCTTTAAATTGGTCCGACTCCTGTGGTTTGTGCTATAGCTGCACCAATATTACTGGAAAGCCACTGCTAAGCCTGTTAGTCCTAGTATATTTACTGCAACTGTAGTTTGTATAGGATCTTCGAATTAATTTTTCTAGTATAAGAACATTAGGAAGTTTACGTCCAGTTCTTGATGCTGGAGAAAGCTGGCTGTTATGTCCTGGTTGTTTTATCCGGCTCTGAAACAGTGATAAGTAGTTGGAAAGGTTCTTTGAAACAAGCCCCTCTGTATCTTTTTGTTACCATAAGGAACTGAAAACAAACCATTTATGGATGGAGCACCTTTAGCGTTTGGAAGAGGGCTGATTTGAGATAGATGGAAAGATTTCCTGAAGTTTTTTTGTATTTAAAGTGTTTCTAAAAGCTAGAGAGGGTTTGCCAGAGAATATGCATCTCAAAGCTTTTTTCTTTCCTCCTCTAAGTAGGATTAACTTTTTCTTAAATTCCTTGGTATTTAAAGTGTAAATCCTCCATATTGAGATAGGGAAGTGTGTATTTAAGGTTCTTTAGCCATTACCTGTGGTCCATTCACCCCTGAAATATCGAAGGATTCCTTGGAAGAAAATAGTTTGCTTTCAGGTTTGGATTTTCTTTCCAGAGGTTTGCACCTTCATTGGAAAACTTAGACTAGCAAACTTAAATATTGGAATTAATGCCTGAAAAATTATACCTCCCTCCCATCTTTGGATGGATGGAATTATAACAGTCCTAAGGACCTTCTCAAAAATGCTTATGCAAGCTAGTGTTGATGGGTTGCAATACAGCTACCATAAGCAGCCTTCACACATCTCATGGTGTGGCCACAGCGGTGTGTTGTGCCACAGTTTGTTCAAATGGATAATTTTCTGAACTGAATTGATATAAGCTAACATCATGGCTTAGTATCTGGATTAACAGGCTCTGCTGTTTCAGAGACAGAGAAGTTAGCCTCTTTAAATAGCTGTGTGGACATAGTGATTTTAATTTGGGTGTTGGACTGTGGAAACCATGCAGTGAGGGCATCAGCACCTTTACGGTAGCTCTGCGTTTCTTGTTTGTGATCTGTCAGAGCACGTGCTTTGTAATGGGTTTTTCTTTCTCCTGGAGTGCTGTATGCTCCTGATCATAATTTTTCATTTAAAAAAAGCAGCACTAGTGAAAACTTGGAGCAGTGATCTTTCTAGAGCATCACATTTAAATATTCCATAGGAATACTTCAGATTAAATGGTAGAAAGCTTTTTGTTATCTTGAGGCTCTAGGTCCTAATGTCCAATAGAAGACAAGAAATGTGAAAAATGGCTGAAAACTGCCAGTCTACAAAATGGCAAATCCCGATTTGGGCCCCTCTGTAGTCAGCCCAGATACCCAGAAGTGCAGTCAAGTTCTACGGTACTACTTTGCTACTGCTGGCTCTTGCAGTCCGTTTCTTCATAGCTTTGTGTTGTACCATCAGTTGCCATGTCAGATCCACTGTAGCAAGCTCATTACTGTTTTTTTCCCCAGGTGGTTAAATGTAGGGGAGCTCACCGAGGTGCCTGCCTAAAGGGGGCTCGCAAAAGACACCCGGGGTCCAGTATGACTTTACTCTTCACCTTTTACTCAAAACTGGCTGGAGCATGTAGGAGCTGGCCAGGCACTCCTGGGTCTGCCACCTTGTCCTGGAAAGGAGTGTTTGGTTTAGCATGTTGCATGTAGACACTTTACATAGGGGTGTGTTTATGCAGAGCTGGGTCTAATAAGATGTAAAACGCTGTATAAATTATAGGAATAGCTACCTTGAGGTGTTAAAGTAGCCTTTTGAGTTTGTACAAAATGTCCAGAGAACAAAAACGGAGGCCTGCACATTTAATAATCCTCATTAAATGCTTTGAAATCTGAAAGTACAGGTAATACTGCATGCCGTTGTCCTCTTCTGCTAAAGTGTGTGTTTTGAACATTGTTTGTTGCTATTTGGGTAGGTGTATGGAGAAGAGTAAGAAATTCTGAAATGTGTTGGTAGCAGTAGCTAGCGATGGATGTCTGCATTGCTTTCCTTCATGAAAATATGTTTGTCTGTCTGCCCCACTGGAAGCTCTGTTTGCAAGGTTTCCTTTTGTTGTGGCCCTTTGGAACACATCACCTGCACAAACACTGCCATTACTTAAATTTTACTCTGAGGAACTGGAAGTACCAGTTTCAACCCTAAAGTTTACAAGATACATTGCAAAGACTTTTTTTTTTTTTAAACACGAGGCACTGGTGGCATCTCTAATATCATGGGGAGTGTATTGGCCATCTTTGGGCCCCTGGGAAGTCACCAGTGAATAGGTACAGCTGCAAATAGGTGATTTACTGTATCAACCAACAGTAGGAAATAAAATAGTTGTTATCCATCTCAAATTCAGTAACCCAACAAGATTCTCTGCTAAACACAGGCCTTGTCTTCTGTTTCCCAAGCATGTGAACTGGCTGACCATCTCACTCACTAGCACTGGAATAATTATGACGTACTGTGAGGAGCGTGCATCGTAAAAGCTGCTTTTCTTTGAAAGGGTTTGTTAAAAAGATTGTGTGGTGCCTGACCAGGACAAGAAATGCTGCTGCTTAGCATGTTTCCTAAAAAGCTGACCCCTCTGAAGACAAGTTCTGCACAGGAAATGCCTGCAGAACAGCAGGAGAGAGTTATCATGGCAAAGCTGTGATATCTTGCAGTAATCAAGGAGAACAAGGGATTTCCATGTAAAGAAGGCTCCTGAAAGTTGTACTTAAAGCTCTTGGCTTTTGCTTCAGATAGATAACTTGCCTGTTTCTGTTGCTTCCCTACCATACCACTGCCTGCTGCCCTGTGTTTGATGCTGGTCCGCATTCCTAGGCTGTTCTAGCAGAGTGCAGGATCATGTGAATTTGACCAAAACTTTGCCAGTGAAAATGTCCAAGTGACAATTTTTATGTTTTAGCATTCCCTTTGTTGGCATAAACTAGATGCTGTTGAACTTGCCAGATCAGACTTTGAAAATACTAACAACTAATTCCATAAAAGATAACAAAAAGCCCTGACTTTCTAGACAAAGCTCGATCACGTTGGGTAGTTCATAGATCATTGCATCAGGTGGTTCTTAGATTGGTACATACTCGTATACAGAGTTAAACTGAGGATACTTTCCGTAAGGCCCTGAATGTACAGTAAAGCCTTTAAATGACACTTTTGCCCACTTACAAGCCTGCGTTTCTGAAGATTAAAGATGTTTTCTGCCAGAGTATTCCCCAGCTACCTAGTCTGAAACAGCTCAAGTTTTGAAATGGACCAGTTCTTCAGACCAGAGTGAGGGAAAGGTGTTGTAAATGATGTATTTAAAAACAAATACCCATGGCTGTTTCCATGGCTTTCAGTATGTAATGTGGAAAACGAAGGTGAGTTTGAGTTACGTTCTCAGCTGTCAACAACTTGGCGAGCTGCTACAGTCATGTATAGCAAGTTGATAGGGGTTTGGATGTCTTGTGTATGTTGCTTAATATTAAAATTCTAGAAATAAGATATTGTGCTATGCTTAGGAAGAGAGAAAAAAGTAAATGCTTAATGGTACAGTCACAGAATCACAGGATGGTTGAGGTTGCAAGGGACCTTTGGAGGTCTTGTCCAACCCCCCCCTGCTCAAGCAGGGCCACCTAGAGCCAGTTGCCCAGGACCACGTCCAGACGGCTTTTGAATATCTCCAAGATGCAGACTCCACAACACCTCTGGGCAACCTGTGCCAATGCTCGGTCACCCTCATGGTGAAAAAAGTGTTTCCTGATGTTCAGATTTGTGTTTCAATTTTTGTGCCCTTTTGCCTCTGGGCCTGTCACTGGGCACCACTGGAAAGAGCCTGGCTCCGTCCTCTCTGCACCCTACCTTCAGGTATTTGTATACATTGGTAAGATCCTCCCTGATGAGCTTTCTCTTTTTTTGGCTAAATACCTTCACGTACCATCATTTTTGTTCTAGAATTTTGTAACTAATAAACTAGTATCTTTTTAACCTCTTAGAGGTTCGCAGCCTTACCTGCATGTTAATGCTGGTTCACTGTATGACAAAGGTGTTGAAAAGATTCAGGTAACTGATGCTATTGAACCTTTTCCATTAGGAATTGTGATCCTTCAGATTTGCCTGCTCTTTATCTTGTTTGGTTTTATGCCCTTTTCTGTAATATTTTGTGAAACTGGGAGCAGTTTGGGAAGGATTTTTCAAGGAAACAATTTTTTTCTTTGAGGGGAGAAGAGACGTGTTCCTTCCAGATGCATTCTGTGTATTTGCAGAATGCTACTACAGAATGCTTTAAAAATACTATTATTATAAGGTTATATTAGAATTTGGTCTCTGTCCAAGGTGTGAACGACTATATGAATGCTTTTTAACGACAACCATCTAATCTTTGTTTTTTTCTTTTAACTTCACATTCTGTTAGGGGTATTTCTGTGCAGCTCAGGTGCATAGATAAAACAATCTGTTTCCCTGCAGTGTCTCTTCTTATTAGAAGCAGAACCATCACACAACAACAGTCTGAGCTATTCTGAAGGACAAGACAACCTGGGTTCTCTATATGTAGGAAAACACGAGTATGAATTTGTCTCTTGCTTGAGTTCATACTAGCTGCTTGCTGGAATTGCACAGGGAATTTAGTCCTGTGGTGTTGGTGCATGGTACAATGAAGGTGTAAACTCCATGTAATAGATGTATTTAAAAAATTATGTCAGTTTTCAGGCTCTGATGTATGAAATGGGCGAAGGCCTGGTAAAAAACAAGAGCTGTCACTTTACACCTTCACCTGAAGACGTAGCAATATGTAAGCAGCAGTTCTTTGATGCATTTCTAATTGGTTTGGTTGAGGCCTAAGTGTGTTGCCTTTTTTCTCCCCAGCTGAGTATTGAACAGGCCCAGGCTGTGGCAGAGCAGGTTGAGATGAAAGCGAAGGTGGTACAGTCTGAAGTCAAAGCAGTGACTACGAGACATAAGAAGGCCTTGACTTGCATTTGTGTTTTGAACTGCCGGCCAGTGCCTCTTCAAACTGAAAACATGCTTTTTAACTAGTACGTGGCCAGATTCTGATGTCCTCCCAGGGAGCACTGAATTGAAACACTACAGTTTACTGTGAACTCATTTTTCTGTAGGTAGCAGGATGATGGATTCTGGCCCTGGTTGGTTTTGTGCTGAAGGTATCTCTTAATCTGAGAAACAGGTTGGGTTTTTGTAGGGACTACGGTATCCTCGCACAAGCTCAGCCCCGCGGTAGGGTGGGCACTCCCCCTGCTGGGTCAGCAGCTATGCCTCACATCTCAGTCCTGACCGGAGATGAGATCGCTTTTAAAACACCTTGTTTAAAGAATGTCTTTAAAATCTCTTTAATACGTTGCTGTAGTAGGTATGTAGTATATGGGGTTTCTTACATGATCCACTTCTTGTAAACGAAGGAAAGGAGGAAAGCTGTATATGCTGTGTCCCTTTTTTAGAAGGACTAGTAGAAATTCTGCAAGACTAACTTTTGCTGTTCCCACACCTAAAAACTTACTTTACTCTCAATCAAGGTAGTGTCCCTGTGATTTTTTTTTATAGTAGTAGAAGAAAGGAATATTCTCCAGCAAGAGTATCTGCACAATCCCAAACTCCTGCACTCACTTCAGTCACAATGCGCGTGTGGTATTTTGAGAGGAGGAAAGGAAGTAAGAGCAAAGTTTCTTATTCTGGAAAGGTAACTTAGTGGTCATGGCTCTTCTGCTTGTTTAGCACAGATTAGTTTCAATTGGCCCTTTGGGTCCCACTTGTAGAATTGAAGAGAAACCCACTCTCTGCTGTTGGATCAGGTCTTTTAGATCAGTGAGTCAAACTGACTTGTCCTATGACCACACAATTGCTAGTACAGGTATAGGGGAGCAAAAATGTGTGGTCGAGATAGGAAAAGTTTAGGAGTAACTTGAGAATGCTCCTGTAATATGCAGTCGCACCAGATAAAGCGTGGCAGGTGCTGTGTGGCTGCTGCCTATACTAGCAGCACCAGGCAGGATGGCACGTACATCTGGCTGGTGAGGCACATGCTGCCAAGAAGCAGTGCCATCCTGCTAAAGTACTTCTCCCCTGCCTCTTCTCCATCAACATTGATTGGAACAGTAATTTTCTGGTTTAATATCTGTTGCCAGCAAAATGACCACTCTGGTAAGGGTTTACGGTATTGGAACTACTCTAGCTACGGTGAGGCTAATCCCCTAAAAGAGAAATTTGTTTTTCTGTAGTTCTTTTGTAAGTGCTAGTGGCAAGATTAAAAAAAAAAAATGCACTTTATATAGTTACTGTACTTGTAATGCTGCTTTTTATGAGGTATTTGGATTGAGGGAGACGAGTTGACTTCGCACTGTTAGCCTTCCCCAAGAAGCTTGGCAGCCTTCTCTTTTGAGGTATTCCTAGTACAGGAGAAGTAAGAGCTGCCCCTAAGCTACTCTTATCCCAAGAGGCTGCATAAATGTGCTTTATAGGAATGCCTGCACCGAGAGCAAGTTCTCTTCAGGTTATAAAACATTATTTTAAGAAGGAAAGTTGGTGGTGGTGGTAAATTATTCTAGCAAAAAAAGCCCTCATGTGAAGCAAGTTAGAGAATAACTTTGGGTACCAAAGCTGAGGCTGAGCATTAAGCTGAGACCTAAGAGTAGTAAACTCTTTTGGAAATCTACTGCAGGAAGCATCTCTGACTTTTTTGACAGTCTGGCAAAACCTGCATGCCCTAACTTTAAATGAAATAGCATTTTTGTACATCTGTTACCTAGTCGGTGTATAACCAAGGAGTCTTCAGACAGTGAGTTGTCCCTCATTAAAATACATTGCTGGTATTGTTCTGCAGCCAAGCAGGTATTCTGACATAAGGAAATGTATTTTTGCAACAATAAAGCAATTACATGTTTCATTAGTTTTACAAGACAGGTGTCTCTGCCAGATGGTCTAGAGTGATTTTTCACAAGTAAAGATAAACGAAGGCTTATATAAAATAGTTACAAACAAACTATTTTTGCTAGAGCTTCAGTCCCCCAAGCAGGGGGACTGTATAAAGCATCCTGTTGTGTAAAGCACTAGCTCGGCATGACTGCCAGTATTTGCAAGAAAACATTAAAATAATTGGACCCTAAAAATCCCTGGAGATAGATGTCTGAAAACAGTTCTGGCAGGCAGGGGAATGACAAGAGCCCATCTGCATCGGCTGTTGCTGGCTCCTAGCCCCAGCTTTGTGTGATAACAGCCTACCTTCAGAAACTGGTGTCCGTTCTGGTTAGAGAAGCCGCAGCCTCTGCCCTTTCTTGAGAGCCTGCAGTAACCTCTGTCCTCCCTGGAGTCTAAATAAGACATACCTTTGGATGATCTGCCAAGTACCTTGCAACTAGAAAACAGAATAGCATTTGAGGAAGCGAATCATTATTAGTAAGCAAGTGACTCTTCCTTTCAAATGGCACTCTGATGCAGCAGATCTGCAGAGTAAGAATGTATGATTTTGGCTGGAGGATGGGAGAGAATAATAATCCTAAATAATTACTTTTCCTCATTTCTGCTTCTCTACATCACGGTTTTTAGAGGCTTGTTCTGCAGTTCTGTGTCAGCGTGCTGCAACAAGTGCACAACCGGTTTTTATGTAGAAGAGCGACATTAGGAAATGTTTTTTGTGTTACGGGTTGTCTTTCCTGATGTAAGTGTGCTTTTCTGTCCCCCCCCAAGGTGGAAAAGATTCGTCAAGTCAAGGCTAAGTCACTGTACTTGCAAGTTGAAAAGTTACGTCAGAACCTAAACAAGCTGGACAACACCATTAGTGCTGTTCAGCAGAGGAGGGTCGTACCATGGATATTCTTCTGGCTCGGGACCGCATGCTGGCTCAGGTGCAGGAGCTGAAGAATGTGAGAGGCCTTCTCCAGCCACAGGAAGATGACAGGATCATGTTCACTCCCCCTGACCAGGCATTGTATATGGCCATTAAATCAATGGGCTTTGTCAGCAGTGGGGCTTTTGCTCCTTTGACCAAAGCCACTGGGGAAGGCCTCAAGCGTGCACTGCAGGGCAAAGTGGCCTCTTTCACAGTGATAGGCTATGACCATGATGGTGAGCCTCGCCTTTCAGGAGGTGACATGATCTCTGCTGTGGTGATGGGCCCGGATGGAAACCTTTTCGGGGCAGACGTCAGTGATCAGCAGAATGGGACCTACCTGGTCAGCTACCGTCCACAGCTAGAGGGAGAGCACCTGGTATCCGTGATGATGTGCAACCAACACATTGAGAACAGCCCCTTCAAGGTTGTGGTGAAATCTGGGCGCAGCTACATAGGCATTGGGCTGCCGGGGCTCTCCTTCGGCAGTGAGGGAGACAGCGACGGCAAACTCTGCCGCCCCTGGGGGGTTAGCGTAGACAAAGAAGGCTACATCATTGTTGCTGACCGCAGTAATAACCGCATCCAGGTGTTCAAACCATGCGGGACCTTCCATCACAAGTTTGGCACGCTGGGCTCCCGGCCGGGCCAGTTCGATCGCCCTGCCGGCGTGGCCTGTGACGTCTCACGCAGGATCATCGTGGCTGACAAGGACAATCATCGCATCCAGATCTTCACATTTGAGGGGCAGTTCATTCTGAAGTTTGGGGAGAAAGGAACAAAGAACGGGCAATTCAATTACCCATGGGATGTGGCCGTCAACGCAGAGGGCAAGATCCTGGTTTCTGACACAAGGAACCATCGTGTTCAGCTGTTTGGGCCCGACGGCGTGTTTCTCAACAAGTATGGCTTCGAAGGGGCACTCTGGAAGCACTTTGATTCCCCCAGAGGTGTGACTTTCAATCACGAGGGCCACTTGGTAGTGACAGACTTCAACAACCATCGCCTTCTGGTCATCCATCCAGATTGCCAGTCAGCACGCTTTCTGGGCTCGGAGGGCACCGGGAACGGCCAGTTCCTGCGCCCGCAGGGAGTGGCGGTGGATCAAGAGGGGCGCATCATCGTGGCCGATTCCAGGAACCACCGGGTGCAGATATTTGAGTCAAATGGTAGCTTTTTATGCAAGTTCGGCACTCAGGGAAGCGGCTTTGGTCAGATGGACCGTCCTTCAGGTATAGCCGTCACCCCTGATGGCATGATTGTTGTGGTCGACTTTGGAAACAATCGAATTCTCGTCTTCTAATCTGTGTTTGAATTGGGAAGAAACTGTCTCAGGGAAATTCTTCTAGGAGAAAATGAAAAAAAAAAAAAAAATACAACGTTAATTCAAACCTACCTCATCTTTAATTTTTTTACAGATGAATGTACTTATCTTTTCTGCAGGGAGTGAGCCTGTAAAGTTAAATTCTATCTACCTCATTGTCCTCCCTTCCCTCCCTGGTTTCTCGCCCTCTCCCCATCCCCACACACTCACAGTTCAGAACGTTTTACCTCTCCCCCCGATGGGGTTTCATGCACAAACAAGTGTTGCTGTGCACATTAGGTGGTTTGTGTGGCAAGTTCTGTAGACTAAGCCAAAAAAAAGGCTCTATGTAACTTTTTTAATGGAGAAAATGGTAGTAGGTGTTTGTAGAGAATTTGTGTTCTTGACCATACTGCAGTTCTGTGGGTGGGGACATGGGAGGGGGGACTTTTTGTTTTTTTGAATTGCTGCTGCAGCAGAGAACTTTTTCCTGTTCTCCTTTTTATACCTCAGTGTGTTTGATTTACTGGTGAGCACAGCGTCTTGTTCCCAGACGGCTTTGAACGTTTTGTGAAAGTGAGTGGGATTCACTCGCCGGGAAGAGCAAGTTTGCATCTTTTTGGCATTTCTGTGTATTTTTTTCTGAAACACAGTAATCCAACAGCACAAAGTGAAGCTGATGAAAATGCACAAAAATTGTTTAAGTTTAAACCAAATTGTTCATTTTAGTGGCTTAGTGCCGTCGTTGTAAAGTTTAGATAAAAAGCAAGGCTTCCTTTAATGCATCCTGTCATTGAGTATTTCTTTTTACCCCTTCACCTGAAAGCTAAATTAGTTTTAAAGAAGTTAGTTTCTTTTATCAGTGCGCCTTATCTGGATAACAGAAGAGGTTACAAGGAGCATTGAAACAGGGAAAATCAAACCCTTTTGATTTACTTTCTTGTGAAATGACTAGCTTTTTTTGCCCCTCCCCATAGAGAGACTTTAAGGGAATAACGTTTGATGGATTTGTTAGAACAGAAGTGATACCTTTTTCCAAAAGTAAGAAATAAGCACAGCTTTGGAGATTCAGGGTGCGTTTTGGAAAAGTCAACAGGTTTTTTGTGTTTAAAGAGGATTGCAATAACTCTATCAGTGACAAAAATATATTTTTTTTCATCTTCTGGCTTCCCCAAAGAGCTGGACTGAAAAATTTGGGAAGGTTTGCTGTAGTTTTTAGGGTGGGGTGGGCCTGTGGCTCTGTGTATCTCCTGCTGCAGATCCAAGTGAAAAGTTACCAGTACCAGCATAAGGCAAACTGCATCAAGATGAAACTTTGCTGCTTTTTTCCAGGGCAGTACCAAAGAATTCTGTGTAAAATAAATGTATATGATCCTTAAAAGCTTGGAGGCAGGGGGAAGTGAGCCCTTTCAGGGATATAAAAAAAGCTTTTCTGAGAAGCGGAAACTTTTTGGGAGAACAGAGATCTCTTTAGCAAAATGTGACTTTGAGTCCCTGGAAGTATTTGGTGTTACTCTTCAATTTCTTGCATTCCAGGTTAGCTGTTGATGCAGATATGGTCTCTACAGAGCTGTTGCTTCACCCTCTGGATAAGGCCTTTGGTGGCAAACAAGAATGGTTAAAGTAGGGAACAGAGGGCTTTTTCTGTCTCTGTGAAGGAAAAACTTGTGTATCAGTACTCTTAGGCTTGGAAATGCCATGGGATTTACCTTACTGTTTGCAAGAGAAGATCTCTGAAACATAAAGTCTGAAGAGCCTTAACCGTCCTCCAAGGAAAGGGTTCATCTCTCTGCCAGCCACCATGCACAAAAGTGACCTGAGATTGAAAGGCTCTTTACAAGTTTGTGAGAAATCACAAGGTGCACTTTCCTTCTTGCTGCTTTTCCCCTCCAAGGAGTGTTAACTTTCTGGGTTTTCTAGAAATCCTGATGATGTGTGCAGACAGATAGCTGCTGCTTAGAGGAGGCTTAAACTAAAGGACCAGAAAGAGACAGACAGATTCATGAGATGGCAAAACCTCTTTTGAAAGAAGGGTGAAAAACACCTAAAACTAAGAAAAACACCTAAACTAAGTAAGATAAAAATAACTGTGCTGCCTTTCAGCCAAAGCCTCAAGGAAGCAAACTCTTCAAAGCAGTGTGTTTCAGTTAGGCTTAATCTTAGGATAGCATGGTTTAAAAATAGTCTTTGAAGGATAATCTTTTATACAGATGTCTGTCATTAAATTTGTGTGGCCACTCAATATATGGGTATGCGAGAAAGCTAGTTTACCTTCAACTTTTTCAAGTTTTGCTTGTGTACATGCCTCCCTTCTTGGGGGTGGCCTTACAGTTGTGACAGATGTCCATGTTTGTCTTGTATTAATCAGTCCAAGAATTATTTGCAATTTGGGCTGTGAAAACTAATAACCTGCAAAATCTAGATACCAAAGAAAACTGGTTTTAAAAGCTTTAATATTTAGTTTGCAGTGTCCTTGCATTTATCCTATCATGTCTTAAAAATGCCAGGTCTCTTAATATCCCGACCAGAGTGGCTGACAGTGGTGGAGTATGCTAGAAATGCTCTTGTGCTTTTAATGCTTGTTGGGTTCCCCCCTTCTCTAGGACAAGAAGGGAGTTGCTTTCCAGGCATTAAAAAAAAAAAAAAGTGTGCATTCAGGATTGTGTTGAACTGCAGAAACCTTTTTGTCCCTCTCCAGCCTGCGCCACGTAGAAGGTGACAGACACTGAAGTTGCCCATTGCTATTTTGTATGGAGCCATTGCACAAAGCCCCAGTCCAGCTCTGTCAGGAAGAGGAACGACTTTAACTCTTTCGAAGTTGCTGTCTAATTCAGTGGGATTTGCTGACACACCAAACCTCAAATGTTTGACCTCACGTGTTGGGGAGCTTTTTCGTTTTAAAAACACTACTATTTAGCTACCCCAAATAATTCCTTATCTTTGTCATAGATAGTGCTAAGCACACTTGGTCTCATTGAAAAGTGGTAGTGTAGCTTATAAAATGGAGTGTTTTATATGCAATGAAAATAAGTAGTGATAATATACAATGCCAACATCAGATGCCCCATAGGGGCTTTTAAAAAGTGATACTTAAATGAGATTCAAAAACCTTGCTCTGTTTTTCCACACATGTTCTCAGGCTATGCATGTTCTCAGGTTAATGCCCCCGTATCATAATACACATGGCGCAGAGAGAAAAAGCAAGGCTTTGAAGCTGGATTGCAAACTGAACGAGCATTCAGAGTAATCTTCTGAAGTAGTGGAAATGGCCTGGAGAAGGGTGAGGTGAGCTTGTGCCTCTTTCTCTTAGCTCTGACATTGGGGAACAACAGATGTGGGTGACAGACCTGTCTACTAGACCTCCCAAAGGAATTTCACTATGCCAGGTTAAACCAGTGACTTTTGGTAAACTTTTTGCTTGCCACAAGCTATCAGCAGTCAGTATGGCTGGTTTGGATTCAGCCTACGAAGCAATCTTGTCCTTTCTCAGAACTATTTAAGCAGGAACTTCAGTAGCAAACTGAAGCAGACTCAGTACTTGATAATGCAGATCCTTCAGATAATTCACTCCTTTTTATTTAGTACCTTTTAAATATAACTTATTTAAGGAAGCCCGTAAACCTTAAACTTCTAAAGAAAGCAAGGGAAGGATGGCAACACCTGAAAACTAAAGCGTATCGGGGCCAGACATGACCAAGTTGGGAGAAAGCAGAACAAGGCACTTGGATGTGGCATTCCCTTGGAATTGCAGGAAAATGGGCCTGGTCTGTTACGTTACAGTTAAACCAAAATTAGTTTCTGAAGAGAGCAGGCTTATAGGCGTATCTTGCCATAACTTTTGATCATAAAATTTCTTTGTTCAGTTCTGATTTAAAAAAAGAAAATTGTGCCAAAGTCTTTTGTTTATTTTTTAAAGGAGTGTAAGCCAAATGGTGCCAAAAGGTAATAGGGTATTTAAAAGTAGAGATATGTAGACAAACAGTTTGGAGCTGTATAAAAAACGAACACTGGTACTTGCGTTAGACAAATATTGTACCTTTGGTCTTTGAGTCCTTGGGAGTTTGAAACCCAGTTTGCTGTGGTACAAAATGCACAACTAGAGATGCCACTATCTTTTTCTTGAAGTTCTACCTCACTTTGCAGAAGTAAATCATCTACCTCAATTTAGCATCAGACAGGTTTGAGAAATAATTGAGAATCTGCCTGGGGGAAGGATTCATCCGGCCTGTTGGACAAGCATTTTAATTGAAACAGAGATACAAAGTGTGTACAATGTGGGGACTGCTTGCTTTTGTTTGTTTTTTGCTGCCTGCCCATGGAAATATTAAGATGCCCTTGCTAGAAAATCTGTAAATAAAACCAAATGTTTGGGCAAACTGGACTGAGATACCTGAAATGCTTTTGTGTTTGTTCTGTTTTCACTACGAAGTATGGAAATGTAAACTTTTTTCAGTATTATGACACTACTAGCTGGCATGACATACTTCATGTTCATTTGCAGTGTTCTTAATGTCCCAAGACCTTTAGGTCTTCTCTCTACAAGAGAAAAACTTTTATGCATGCCTACAAATATGTCCTGTTTGGAAAGACTAATGTTACGATTGCTGTAAACACAACGCTATACCGAATGCTTGAAGGGAATAAGATCCTGATTTTTTTTTTTTTGACTTGGTGATTGTATTAGCAGCTTTCTTGACTCAATGGGATTTTTTTCCACCATGACAAAGCAACCAAGTTCCTATTCCTGGAGGGCAGTTTAGGTTCAGACATTCTCAAGAGAGGCAGTTTAAAACCGTATGTTGGGATTTTATGCAACTTTAATAGTGACATGCAACATGCCCCTTGTTTTACCTGTGGAGTAAAGTTGCAGAAGCACATTTTCAGATTACTATATTGAAAAAAAAAAAAAATCTCTTTTCCTCCCCTGCTCATATTAGGGGGTGACAGAAGTGGGTACAGGAGACCCCTAATAACGATAGGCTGTGTTGGGTTTGGTAAATGTTATGGTGGAAAACGTACATTGATATCTCTAAGTGATCTTACGGGTTAACGA